TCCTTCCTTCCTTCCTTCCTTCCTCCCTCGCTCCCTCCCTTCCTTCCTCTCTCTCCCTTTGCCTTCCTGCCTTCCTGCCTTCCTTCCTGCCTGCCTCCCTCCCTCCCTCCCTTTCCCTCTCTTGTCTTGCAGCAATGCCTTGCTCCCAGAAGAGCTGGGACTCTGTCTATTTTCGGCTCTCTTATCATTTCTCTAGTCATTTCCCACTCTGGGATTATTGCAGGCAAGTGAATGCCCATATGGCTGACTTAAGAAGAAGACCTAAAGCATGTAAACAAATAAAGATCCTTGCAGGAAAATAAGAATATACCACAAGCTCTTTCAGTTTTCCTGAGCCTCTCACAGGCCCTGAATTACCCACACTCATTTCTGTTTTGTGAATGTCACCGTCATAGTGATGGAGTCATGGGAATATTTGAATGTATGAATTAACTCTTTTAGTAAATCTAACAGGGAGACCATGATGTTTCAGACTATTTTTCTGCCCCTTGTTTAACTGAACTGAACACTTGCTGGCATGGGACGTTTCTGTCTCTTGAGCTGTCCGTTAAATGAAGACAAAAGGTGATGGGTGTGTTTTGTGACTCCGCAGTCATCTGCTATTTTCACTGGTGTCTCAGCTGGAGGAAGAAGCTGATCACCTGGAGGAGTGCTGAGCTCATCAATAATGGCCTAAAAATGGCCAGAGGAGTCATAGTATCCCACTTGAAGCCAAGTGAGAGACAATCAATCAAACAGTTCATATTCTTTTTTCATTTTGTCAATGCATGTGGGAGCTGTTGTGTGAGGAGGCACAACAAGATATAAAGCCTTCTCTCAATCTGCAGTAGCTCTGCTTGTGGTTTGAAGGCAGCATCTCAACAAACTTGTATTGGCAAACAGTCTGGAGGGAAGGAGGTCTTCATTGTCCCCTTCACAAAAATTAGTGACACTGGCATGCATTGAGGAAGAAGGTCTTTGGCTGCACTAATAGATATGTTGGAAGAAAATCCCAAGGAGACATGGGAAAGGAAATTAGGAGAGGAAAAAAAAAAGAAATATAAGATGGTAAGCTTGGAATGGAAAAGGTAAGGAGAAAGAAGATGCTGGGGTAGTGGGGAGGGGGCAGGGGCTTGAAATCTGTGGCTTAGGAACAAGCTATAGCCAGATGTGACAGTATGAAAAACTGAAGACCACGATAAAGAAAGCCACAATAAATATAAGACATAGAGAAGTTAGTTATCTTCTGGGTCAGGTACAGCAGAAAGCCTCAAGAGCAACAAACCTCACTGCTGGCCTGGTCTGGGGCATACGCAGGATTAAGGGCTATAGGAAAATATTTTTTCCCAGGAGTCTTAATTTTTTCCTTTGGGCTGTTGTGCCCTCTAGTGCTGCACAAAGCAAGGCAAAGTTCAAGGCAGCCACAGGCCTAAAATTCACAGTTTTCAGCCACTTCTTCCAGGATGCAAGGTCAATCATATAAGTGCTCAATGCTTTCGAAAAATTAGCTTGTTTTGGTCATGCTAATTGAGAAAGACTTCTTCAGATGGCTTTTGAAGAACATGCCCAGTCTCCATCTGTCCTAACCAGAGGAGGATTTGCACTTGGATACCTTGAAGACTAAACTGGGAGCAAACCTTTGAGGTTTGGACAGGTAAGGCACCTGCATCACATGCATTATGCATGTGAAAGGGTCTGTAGAAAAGGCAAATTTGGTGGTGACATGTTGGACTTCCTATGGGCAACTCCGGACCTACACTCTTCTGAAACTTTGCTTTGTGAGTTTTCTTTGCTATGCTACCATTGCAGCCATCCGGACCTACACTCTTCTGAAACTTTGCTTCGTGAGTTTTCTTTGCTACCATTGCAGCCGTGGCTTTGAGACAGCAATCCCAACCTTTCCCAACATTTAGCAGTGCTCAGGGTTTTGTTTCGCCCTTATCATAATTAGGTATCATGCGAAGAACTCCTGGAGGAATAGGATACCACCTCATAAAAGACAGGGTCTGTCATGCTACATCTGTCTGTAGATATGTGCAGCACATAAGTTAGAGAAAAACAGAGAGAAGAATGAACAAGGAGCACTTCATGAGTATAGATTTGCTGCTGAAACACCCAGTGCAATACAGCGCTTCAAGACGAAGCCAGACACTGCGCACAAAAGGACATGACCGTGAGTTCCTACCTGGATCAAATTATATCCCGTTCGCTGAATTAATGCACGGAGGGCAGCTTCTTTCTGTGTGCCGGTCAATCCATCCCCGGATTTGTGATTTGATTCCATTGTGAGTGATTATCAGCAAAAAATCAGGTTAATTAGGGGTGCTCACTGCAATCAAATTTAAGATAAATTAAATAAATTAATATGGCTAGGAGGACAAAGTCCTAGAAAGGAGTCCTGAGAAAGTTAACAGGATCATTCTTCCTAAATCAGTCATTTTGACATAAAAACAAAACACCACAGATGGTGGAAAAAGGAAAAATATCCCCCTCTCACATATTGCATGAAAATAAACAACATTTAAGCCCACAGTCAGATTTTTGGAGAGCACTCCAGTGAGACGCAGAGGGATATTGTAACATACTGGTGCATGTGTCTTAGGAGGGAAACACGTGTAAGATGCCTCACCCTGTGCTGAGTACATGACAGTGAGTCCTTCATGCCATTGCAACCTGCTGATATCGGGAAAGGAACCTCATACAAGCCACATCCAGCACTTTATGAGAAACAAGACCTCGGTCCAGAATTGGCCGATTTTTAAAAAAGAAGAACATGGGAGAACTTCAGATCTGTATCTAGGTTCAGGGCTCAGACAGCCTTGGGTTCAGATGTTCTGATTCAGAGCTGTAGTTTCAGGTCTTATCAAATTAAATATTTTTATTTTTTTATTTATTTTGGGTTTGGGTTGAAAACACCAACATTCAGCTCAAATCTAAATCTGAATTTGGTTACACATTGGCAAAGGATCATTTACAAGTTGGACTTGCTGCCTGTAAATTCAGACTGCCCTGTTTTTCCTGCATGCTGAGTTTCGAGCTCGTGCAAAATCCATTTGTATGAGCCAGGCACAGAAGCAGTGTCTGCAGGCACAACGTGGAGCTTGAGGATTCATGATGATGGGCTGATGTTGAACACCAGCAAGAGCTAAAACCACTTGCCCCCTTAGGCCCTCATCGCCAGGGCACGTGCTGTGGGCTGGTAGGACCAAGAACTTAGACTAGGAAATTCCTAAATCATGTCATCCAAAATTACCATAATTCATAGATATTCGTATAGAATCATAGAATTATAGAATCATCTAGGTTGAAAGGGACCTTCAAGACCATCTAGTCCAACCATCAACCTAACTCTGGCAAAAAAAAACCCCATCACTAAACCATGTCTCCCAGCACCATGTCAACCTGTCTTTTCAACACCTCCAGGGATGGTGCCTCAACCATTTCCCTGGGCAGCTCATTCCAATGTTTGATAACCTTTTCAGTGTAAAATTGCCTTAAATTGCTTTCAATTTTACAAAAGTTGAGGCAACGAAAGGCAATGATAAGTCCTTTGCTTGGCTGGAGAGCAAACAGGATGAAAAGGGGTCCGGGTGGGTGTACTGGGCATGAGGGGGACAGGGCACCCTGAGATGGGGAAGGGCACAGGATGGGGAGCAGCTGGGTAGGGGAGAAGGGAAATGTAGAGGATCCGAAGGGGGAGACGGAGAAGTGGAAAGAGGACGGATTGCTGTGCCTATGCCCTGAGCCAATGCCAAATTTTCAGGAGAGAACCCTAAACAATCTCACTGTACAGCAGGTCCCTTGGTGCACACAACATAAGCATTGCACATCAAGAAATGCAGGTAAAAAAGTACATTATATCTCACTACGGCAGATTTTCTGAGTACACCATGATGCTGTGGAAATAACAAAAAAAAGCCTTTTCCAATAACTGGCTGTTGAACATCAAAATATTTTATTGGCACATGCTGCTTTTGGTTTCATTAAGGGAAGAACTAAAGTTTGAGGCCGGCCACTTTGCCTGTGGATGTTACTTGCTGTGTGCTCCTATATCTTTGTACCCTGGAAACAGGATTAAACAGGTGTTTTAAATTTAAATATATGGATTACTCTCAGTGCCACAAATGAGGCATGAGCCCAGGTGTTTGGAGGATCTCAGCTTTGTGTCACTCTGGCTTTGTAACCCTGAGCTCCAGAGACCATGAATACTCAGAAATAGAGACATCTCTGTAGAGATTTTGGAGCTCCGGATTTTGGAGCTATTTATTGCTGAAGTCATCTCTGTAGAGATTTTGGAGCTCCGGATTGCTGAAGTTTGTGAGACCCTTCTGATATTTTTTTTTTTTGCCGTGCTCCCAGGTTCTCTGGTGTTTTAATTACTACCAACGTGCAGGGACTGAGAGATGGATTGTCCCATGCTATAGCTCTCTCCTGTCCCTAATTCCAAAATGAATGTTTTCTGCAGCAACTGGATCCCAATTATTGTTTTGTTTTGCCCTTGCTGAGGATGGAAGCAAAACCCTATAAATGCTCATAATTTCGGTGCCTGCTGACTCCTCCAGAGCTGGGGTTCAGCACAGCACGGGACAGGATCAGCACACTGCTGTGCAAAAACGAGTTGGACATTTTCCCAGGCTGCTTAAGAAGGAGGGCCATTCAAGAAAAAAAACAAACAACTAGATTGATTTTGCATCCTCCCCTGCCTGGGCAGGGACACCCCATATGCACCCTATAGAGAAAAGCTCTGGTGTGCTGCAAATTCGGCCCGTTACATTTTGCTTTTGCTGAATCCGGGTTTCATCAGGGGTTCGAGCCATCACATTTTGCAGCGCTTGGATTGCTGCAAATTTCCACAGGGCTCCATGATTCTCTGTTAGCCCTTGTAGCTGGACTCAAGCCCATCCTCGTGTACCCAAAGGCCAGCACAGACACGGGGACGAAAAGGGACAGCCGCACTATGCAGATATCTCTAATGTTCGCTGCCTCGGGTTTCACAGTTTTTTTTTCTACTCTGTCAGGTATGTCAGTGCTGCAGAAACCTGCTTCCCAACAGAGAGGCTGCCCCAGGTGCCGGAGTGCAGAGACAGGCACATCACCCCATGCCAGCAGCATCTCCTCCCCGTGCCAGGAAAGCAGCTGGACGGCAGCCAGCCTGGAGGGCTCGGCGGCTTTCCATCCAGGCTGAGGTTTCCAGTCTGTCCCCAACAATGACCTAGATAAATGAGTAGTGTAAGAGCCTCTCTTCCCCTCCCCTCCCCCCATCGCCTCCCAGCAAATCGCACTATTTCACACTGCATTGCTCTCACAGGCTGGGTTTCTCAGCAGCTGCTGCTTTGAATGCATTTGCACGCAGAGCCTTAAATGCCATACATCTCTGTACCTCTCCTCCAGGGAGGAGTAATTTCCAGTAACATCTCACTCCAGGTGATGGTTTCACACTGAGCAGCAAGCGCAAGCCTTGGGGCTGGGAGATGGATGGAAATAGAGCATCTCTCTGGCTGATGCATTTACAGCAGGAGCAATGTACCTCTTTGGCTTCTGCCTTATTAGATAAGACCAGGCGAGCTCTTTTGGGCTTTTCCCGTAAGGCGGTCCTGCAAATTTTTTATGCTCTAGACCAGCATGTCTAGACATTGCTGATGTCCAAGATATGCTCAAGCAATCTACTAGGAATAAAGGAGCAAGAGCATTCAAGGTTGCACAAGGTCTTGATCCTAGCCACTGTGAGAGCCGGTGTAGGAGACTGTCATGCATTTTTGGAAAGTGCCAGAAAAATTGGTTGCTGTGTTCTTGGGCTGCGTCTTAGCGATGATCTGGCCTTAATCCGTGCCCAGTGCTCCCACACACCACCACCTTTGAAGAAAGCCCACCCAGATCCAAGGAAACTGCCCTTCCCTGTGCCAGCAGTGGAGGATCCCCATCCCTGGGGATGCCCTGACTTGCAGCTGTGGCATTGGTCCTGCTGGAAGTCAGGTCCGGCTGGAGACCCCCACCCCAGGCTACCTCCAGCCTGAGTTACTCTGAGGGTCTCCACTCCTGATCCAGGAGCATCAGAGGCCAGGGATGGACAACATGGACACACATGTGAACAACCCAACACGCCACCTGGATCTGGTTTTCTAGTACTACTCTTAGAGATTAGGTCCCTCCTACTAATTACCAGACTAAAATCATTCACAGCTAATTTATAAGCCTCATTGCTAGAGAGCTTTCCTCTATCAGGTGGATTTCCCTGGGATGGAAACAGAAATCATACTTCTCTTTTTTAAGAGGTATAAATCCCAACAGAACAAATCCCAAGCACAATAAAACAGGCTTTCCAAGCCCCCAACTTTCCAAACACATCTTCCTACCCTGCCCCCTCTCCTGCCTTCCTTGGCCTGAGGATGTCTTGTTGGAAAGGGTGCTTTTCCAACTTTGCCACCCAAGGGTCCATACTCATCAGTGCATCCCGAGTATTTCCAGGATATAAGTCACAGTGGGACGTTTTATTTCTGAAAGTGGTTGGATTTCTGGCACTTTCCCCTTATTCCAGGCATCAGTCTCAGTCCTTGCAGCAGTGTTGGTGTGCTGGGCTATTTTTTTATCGTTAAGGGTAAGGGAGGAGAGTTGCTGTCAAAGGACCTGGGGAAACAGAGTTATTTTCTCTCCATATTTGTTCCCTGGGCCATAAATCAACTAGCAAATCCACACTCACAGGGGAAAAACTGCCCTTCCATGGCCTTTGTTGGAAAGTGTGAATGTAGCAAATTAAGGCAGTAGTTCTATTCTTATTTAAAAAAAAACAACCAACAACCACACTTAATAGAAATAATTATTCTGAAATTCAGTCATTTTTAGTGGTTTGACCATTAGATGGCTGGCTGTTAATAATGGCCATTATGCCAAAAATAAAAGGAAAGAAAAAAAGGGGGGGCAGGGAAAGAGGTTATATTTTATTCAGATGTTTATATTGCAATTAGGACCTTCAAGGTGGAAACAGCCCAGATGGGCTTCCTATTTCATCCTCATTTTTGACCAAATTTTTAACAATACTATGAAGTAACCATGATCACAGAATCAAGAATCCTATGCCATTTGTAAAGGAAGGTAAAATCAGAGCATTGCTTCATTTGATATTCCTCTCTCCGTTGACTGCCCTCGTTTATTTTAGGTTTCTATTAAAGCTTCAAAATGCCAAAGCAAGAAAAGGTACTTTTGTGCTGAAGATACTTTTATGCATATCAAGAAGAAACCGTTACTATAATACTGCTTCACCTCTCCATGACTACTTCTACACATGGTCTCTTTGCCAGCTAGTGCCAGCAGATCCTACGGCTTTCTTCCATCCAGCCAAGAGCAAGATGAATCCAGAAGCTTTTATGCAAAAAACTGGGATTTTACTTTGCTTTTGAGTTATTTGCTTGGAAAAGGGGAATTGATTTCCCCGTTCAAGGGATGTCTCCTATGCTGGGATTTTTGTTGAGAGGAGGAAAAGTGGTATTTTTGGTCAGACCCTGCTCTCTTACCCCACTTTTGCCCCTTTGCAGTTCTTTCGGGGAAATGTGGTCACTGTTTCCATGAGTGAGATAACGAAGCTGTGTTTATCCTGTGCGGATCAATATGCCCTCATGTTTGAATGTGTTGAGCCACTTGGACTCATTTAATGAAGGCTGTTTTGCACAGGTAAACCCCCCAACTTCTCCCACCCCTGGTGGGGAGGGAGAAGTAAAAAGGTAAAACGCTCCTTGCTTTTGAAAAAACTGGATCAGTATATTCCTTCTTAATCCTTAATAACTCTAATAGGTAGTTACTAGAGAAACTATTTTCCTTTTGGTTATCAGCTTGCTTTTCAAGATTTTTGGGGTTTTTTTCCTCCATCCAGACTCCAAACAATATATATACATAAAAACCACAAAGCATTCTTCATATTCTTCCTAACACGAGACACTTGAAGCCTTGTGAGCTGCCACCAGCTCTTTGCTGGGGTGAGACATGCTGCGGGACAGAGTCCGATTGAGCAACGCGGAGCAAGGCTTTAGTCCCTTTGCTTTCAAGGGTGTAGGGCTTTTTTTCCAGTTTACGTGATCCCCCGGGAAGTGGGAAATCATAGGTACTTGCAGGAGAGCAGGAAAATTTGAAGTAATGGAGAAGTGCTGCATGCTTTGCAGCACATGAGCCTTGGGAAAATATTTCATGTATAAATGGGCAAATTTTTTGCTCAGCCTCTTTTTCTTGGGAAGCAGTTTCTCTCTCTGAAATGTTTTGAAAATTTTGCAGCTGTGTTACCAAATGCACATAACATGCCCCAAAAAGCCCTTTCTGAGGATGAAGGGCACTGAGTGCAGCCTCCTTCCCCTCTGTTTTATTTGTAGCATCACATGCTGGATGTTTTGAAGCCAACCTCCCTCACGTGCCTGCTCCTACCTGAACCTCCCGTTTTGCCAAGGGGAAATAGCCTAAGAGAAACATTATATATTGGGCAGAAAGCCTGCTAGGTTGAAGACATTAGGGAAAATTGAGATTTTTTTAGAAGCAGTGATTGCTTTGATATGGAGACCAATCTTTTGCAGAGAGAAGGAGGAATAAGAAGTCGGCTGGAATGATCTCTAATGATTAGCCCTAGAAAGTTGCACTTTAACAAATCAACACCGAATTATCGCATGGAAAATCCCTCCTCCCTCCTCCACCTTGTCTGGCTTCACTTTTCTGGCAGCCGCCGGTGATCGGTAGGGAAAAGCGGCAAAAAAAAACCCTCCTTGCCCCTGCTGCTGGGCAGAAATTACACCGAGGTCCCCAAGGAGCCCCTCTCTCCCCACCTCATCAAAACATCACAGCAAGCGGTGCAGGGCTGTGCTGGTGCGTGGGTCCAGCCACACGGTGCAGGGGGGTCCCAGCCCCCCAGTCCAGCCCCACCAGTGTCCGGCAGCACTCCAGGCATGAATTTGATGGTGGGGCACCATCAGGGAGAGGGGGGAGGCATGCAGTATAGCTGCTCCTTCCCCATCCTGGCCAAAAGCCTTGTTTTGCTGGGGACCCAGTCTCCGTGCCCCAAACCTGCAGGTAGGATGAGCGGCAGCGTACCTGAGAAATTTTGGAGATCACCGCCAGGGAAAAAGGTCTCCTTGATTATGGAGAGTTTGCAACGTGTCACTCTGGTTATTCCCTAATCGTCATATCAAACTCCAAAGGTTCAGCAGCCCTGGGGCTGGTTTACAGTCCCCGTGGGTTAAACGTTAACCTGCTCTATCTCCTGGCTCCCTGCAGGCCTTTGACCAGATACCTGGGTCACTGCAACTCTGACGGCACCTACCCAGGCACATTTTTTTGTAAATAAATGCAAAGTGCTGAAGTCAGATCATGGTTTAAGGGCTGGCCCCGTGCAACCATTTTGACGCTGGTTTGTTCGCTCTGCGCCGAAGGCTTTCCCAGCTGATCCACCCTGTTGCCACTGCTACCCCAGGCAGAGATGCTGGAAGAAGAGACACAGTCTGTCTTAAACAGGAGGTTTTTAGCTTGGTGGAGGAAGATGGCAGGAGCAATAAATCCCTCTCAGTGGTAGTCTAAGTACACGTAGCCTGCAAACTGTGGGTTTGCAGGAATTGCTATGAAAACATCGTCCGAACATCATACAACTAAATATACTTACAGTGAGGCAAGCCAATGCAGATTTCAGGGAGGGTTTGCTGCACCTAGACAAGGATGTGAATAAATTCAGCAGCCACAAATCTCTGGGATGGGTGGCTTCCAGGTGTGGCAATCTCTGAGTATCCAGTTACTGTGGTCCCCGGGGTATTGTGCAGCATCTTGTTGATGCAACTGCCAAATCACAGAATCACAGAATGACATGGGGTTGGAAGGGACCTTCAGAGATCAACTCATCCTACCCTCCTGCCAAAGCAGGTCCACCCAGAGCAGGTTGTACAGGATCACATCCAGAAAGGTTTTGAATATCTCCAGAGATGGAGACTCCACCACCTCTCTGAGCAGCCTGTTCCAGGGCTCTGCCACCCTCAGAGTAAAGAAGTTTTTTCTTATCTTCAGAGTTTCTTGGGTTCCAGTTTGTGCCTGTTGCCCCTTGTCCTGTTGCTGGACACCATCGAAAAGAGTCTTACTCCATACTCTGACACGCGTCCTTTAGATATTGATAAGCATTGGTGATGTCCCCTCTCAGAATTCTCTTCTCCAGACTAAAAAGACCCAGGTGTCTCAGCCTTTCCTCATAAGAGAGATGCTCCAGGCCCCTCATCATCTTTGTAGCCTCTGCTGTACCCTCTCCAGCAGTTTCCTGTCCTTCTTGAACTATGGAGCCCAGAACTGGACCCAGTGCTCCAGATGTGGCCTCACCAGGATGAAGTAGAGTGGGAGGATGACCTCCCTCAACCTGCATCCCAGGATACAATTGGCCTTCTTGGCCACAAGGGCACATTACTGGCTCATGGATATCCTGTTGTTCACCAGGGCTCCCAGGTCTTTATTTCCTCAGAGCTGCTCTCCAGCAGGTCACCCCCAGCCTGTCCTGGTGCAGGGGGTTATTCCTCCCCAGGTGCAGGACCCTGCACTTGCTCTTGTTGAAGTTCCTCAGATTCCTCTCTGCCCAACTCTCCAGCCTGTCCAGGTCTTGCTGGATGGCAGCAGGGCCTTCTGGTGTGTCAGCCACTCCTCCCAGTTTTGCGTCATCAGCAAACTTGCTGAGAGTACACTCTGTCCCCTCATCCAGGTCATTGATGAATACATTGAACAAGACTGGACCCAGTACTGACCCCTGGGGAACACCACTAGTTACAGGCCTCCAACTGCTGATCACAACCCTGAACACAACCGTCCAGCCAGCTCTCCATCCACCTCACTGTCCACTATCTAACACACACTTCCTAAGCTTATCTATGAGGAATTGAATGTTTGCCTCTGCTAAAAACCTTCTGGACCCTAACGGTAATGGGACGGGTACTGCGATGGTTTGGCAGAGCAATTTCCCATATGATGTGCAAGTTTAGTATCCCACCATAAGGACCTGTCCCTGCAATTGCATCCTGTGTGGCTGTCTCTCATCTTAATGCTGGACCATGACTGTACTACAGCCTGTAGGATGGTCAGTCCTAAAGCTGATCCCCACTGGCAGCCTTTGCCTACACTGGTGCTGAACTACATTTAAGGCAGTATCGGGCTTCGTTTCAAGGCGTGTTAAATGAAGCGTTTACAATTAGGTGTTGCTGACGCTTCAGGTTTGGAAAAGTGCCACACCAGTGTTAGCTCAGCATTTGGTATTCCTGAGCAGAGGATACATAACGAGGGCCTTGCTCTCCCAATGTGAGCAGCATCCTTCTCCTTGCCCAGTGCAATTGCTGTCTCACTGCCGCGCTGCTCTGTTCACCCGTTTCAAAAATGCGACTGCTCACAAGGAAACGTCTGCCCTCCAGTACCCACCTTCCTGCTCAATTCAGGGCTTCAAATGCAGATTTTGGAGCATATTTTTTTAAAAAATGAAACCAAATCAATCAATCAAACAAACAAAAAGCGCAAAGAAACTGGGGGGGCAGTTATGGCAGCCTACCACTGAGCACGGTACCCAGGGAAGATTTGGGGTCTACTGCTTTCCCTGGCCTCCTGGGCAGAGATTGTGGGTGATGGGCAGATATAACACTGGATTTTTTCCCCATCAAAGGGAGTTTTCTGTCTTTAGTGTGCCATCTTATCTCATCAGCCATAAGGAATTGTTAAGATTTGATCATCGGTGACATTAGATTTCAAACTCAATGCCAGCATGCCACTGAGCACCTCGGTGCATTTCACAGGGAAATGATTTAAAATAATTCAATAATCAAACAAAACCTGCTGCCCTGAAATTGTGATGACTGGGGGAGAAAATCAGTTCCAAAAAATGAAGTGTCATGAATCTTCATGTGACCATCACTAAAAAGGAGCCATGAAAAATTCTCTCTGAGGGAAAGAAAGCAGCATGAGACGTTACCTGAGTGCAGGTAATAGAGGACTCTGATAAGCAAGTCTTCATGGGAAGAAAAAGCCATCCGCTCATTAGATGAAATGCAGGTGGCCAGTGGGGTTAGATGTGTGAATGATGAAACGTGTCTTTGGGACGAAAAGCCAGTTGCCCAGCCCCATTTTGGGGTAGGAATTGAATGTGCTTCCACTAGATTGCCCCACGGGTATGAGGGAAGCAAGACAACACGTATGGGCATAGAGGACATATGGAAAGTCATTCAGATGCCAAAGGGATCTTACCATTGGGATTTTACCATTATTTCTGAAGGCCCTCGAGTTATGCAGGAATGGCAACTGTGATACTTTTCTTCTCTGTCTTCCTCTCTCTGGGGCATATTTTGCACAGAAGTGGAAAAGTGATCAAAAGAAAGACATCATCTGTGTTTATCTTTCCTTGAAAGCCTCTCAAGAGGCACAGTTGAGAATCCCAAGAGCAGAAAGGCATAATTGTTTCCTTTTTCATAATCATGCCAGCAGTGGGTTGCCTGTTCGAGGGTTTCCCTCAGCTTGCCAGATGTGATTATGGAAAAGCACTTCCAGCTCAAGAAAAATTATACTTGAGCAGACATTGCCCCTTTGTGTTAACTACTTACTGCCACAAAAATCCTAAGGTGGACCCAATCGTCCAGTTTCCCTGGAAGTACTTCAAGAAGTTTCACGGGATGCCCAGCAAAGTGTTAACAGCAAATTTCCATCTGGGCATGGTAAGCCCTGCTGGCTGGAACTGGGGATCAGTAGCTGTCCATTAGCATAGTAATGAAGCCATTAAAAACATCTTTGATTTCAAGAGGAGCAAGGTACCCTACCCAGCACCTCTTGGCAGAGTCACTTCTCCATCTCTGCTCACTCAGGTTTTGAAGTAAGGAAAACTTTAATTTCACATTGGGCTTTCCTTGAGCATTGCTGGCAAAGCTCAGGGGAGACAGGTGTGGGAACTCAGGAGGACATGGTTTTGGAAACCACCAATGGTTTCCACTGGACACTGTCCGTGTCCATTAGAAATGGCTTGACATGCCCCAGTGAGCAGACATTCCTAGGCTCCATATTGCCTCAAAGTCATAGAATCATAGAATTGTCTAGGTTGGAAGAGACCTTTAAGATCCAACCATCAACCTAACTCTGATAAAAACCATCACTAAACCGTATCTCTAAGCACTATGTCACCCCGTCTCTTAAATACCTCCAGGGATGGTGCCTCAACCCTTTCCCTGGGCAGCCCATTCCGAAGATTCATAACCCTTTCACTGCAAAAATTTTTCCTACTATCCAATCTGAACCTCCCCATGTGCAACATGAGGCCATTTCCTCTTGTCCCATCGCCTGTTCCTTGGGAGAAGAGACCGACCCCCCCTGGCTACACCCTCCTTTCAGGGAGTTGGAGAGAGTGAGAAGGTCTCCCCTCAGCCTCCTCTTCTCCAGGCTGAACACCCCCAGCTCCCTCAGCCTCTCCTCAGGAGACTTGTTCTCCAGACCCCTCACCAGCTTCATTGCCCTTCTCTGGACCCGCTCCAGCCCCTCAAGGTCTTTTTTGCAGTGAGCGGCCCAGAACTGGACCCAGCCCTCGAGGTGGGGCCTCACCAGTGCCCAGGACAGGGGGACCATCACCTCCGAGACCTACTCACCACGCTGTTCCTGACACAGGCCAGGATGCTGGTGGCCTTCTTGGCCACCTGGGCACACTGCTGGCTCCTGTTCAGCCCACAGGCCACCAACACCCCCAGGTCCTTTTCTGCCAGGCAGCTCCAGCCACTCTGCCCCCAGCCTGGAGCGCTGCAGGGGCCCCGTTGGTGGGACCCAAGGGCAGGATCCGACACTTGGCCTTCTTGAACCTCATCCCATTGGCCTCGGCCCATCCATCCAGCCTGTCCAGATCCCTCTGCAAAGCCTCTCTGCCCTCCAGCAGGTCGACACTCCCACCCAACGTGGTGTTGCCTGTGAACTGACTGAGGGTGCACTCGATCCCCTTGGCCAGATCATTGATAAAGATGTTCAAGAGAACGGGTCCCAGTCCCCAGCCCTGGGGACACCACTCGTGACCGGCCGCCAACTGGATTTGACTCTATTCCCCACCACTCTCTGGGCCCAGCCTCCAGCCAGTTTTTAACCCAGCGCAGAGTCCTCCCATCCAAGCCATGGGCAGCCAGTTTCTCCAGGAGGATATTGTGGGAAACCATGTCAAAGACCTTGAT